TCAGGACTCTGTTGGGGACGAGGTCGGGGCCTAGGGCTTTCGCCTCTCTGATTCTCGTCGCCGCTGCATGGATTTCCGTCTCCAGGACTGGCTAGAATCCTTCCAGTGAGTGTGTAGCCGTCTCCAGCGTGGCTCGCGGAAGCATCTGGGGCGAGATTATATCACCTTGATTCGACATCTCGTCCAGCCGACTTTCACCCTCCCCAGACTCTTTATGGATCCAGCCACGGTCTCTGGGACGGAGAACGTTGCCACCTGACCTCCACTTGCGAGGGAGCGGATGCTCTTGATGGTAACGGAACCAGGTGGGAAGTTAGCCTGTGAGGCGAGCTCTGTCGTAAGTTCCTCCCTGGTTACCAGTTCGTCCAGGTCCCGGATAAGGAATGTGGTCTGGGGTGACACAGTGCGGATCGGCACTCCTCCGCCTAGCACACTCCCAATCTGCTCCTTCAGCGCGGTGAGGGAAGGACCAGATGACTTTTTCAGCTCGATCAAGAGCTCGCCCTTCGCCGTTTTCCTGACTCTGTTCACCTTTTCCCCGACTCCTGCCATCCTGGAGTCATGGGTGCGCGTGACCATATTTAGAACATCGCTATACGACATCTCCGCCGCGGGGGTTATGATGATAGCATCATTTTTCCCCCTCTTTCGGCCCTCTCGGCGCATGGTTGAGGCCCGCGCCTTCGGTCCGGATTCGCTGTCTGCGCGCTTCAGCGCTCTGCCGGCGTTTTGAGTGGGAGCCCTGGGTGGGGGGCGCGAGCTCGAGCTTGTGCGGCCAGCGGGGTCCGCACCAGGGTTACCGCTTGTGGGACGAGGACGACCCTTGGGAGACGTCTGCACTGACTTCTCTGCCGAGGGCCAGGCTCGGGTCGTCGGTGGAGCAGTCTGGCTTCCCTGGTCCACAACTCGGATGGCATCACCATCAGCCCTGTCCTTGCCCTCGAGCAGCGAAAGCTCTTCCTGGAGCTCCTTAAGCCGCGCAAAGGCATTCTTCATCGATTGGTTGATGCTTCGGACTTTCTGCTCGTTAGCCTTGGCTAACAAGTCGTCCAGTATCAATCCCATCTCCTTGATCTGTGGCTTGGGCGCCTTGATCTTTTTTCGTGGGTGGGCCGCTACAGGGGGGCTAGGGGCTTAGTCTCTTTGAGGGTGGGGTTGACGAGCTCGTCTCCCGACCGATGGGAACCAGGACTCTCTCCGAGTCTTGGCCAGTTGCCGTGGGGCCGCCGCTAGGTGGGGTCCGCTGCAACTTGGACCGCTTTTGGAAGGCTCCCAGGTCATTTGTATCATCACTTGTCGCTGTAAAAGGAGCGCCGGCCAAGTGGGCCGCCGGAGCTACAGTGTGGGTTAGGGCCTCCAGAATCCGTGGCCTTGCCGCGGGGTCAACCGCGGGTGAATTTCCACATTTGTGGCTGCCACCTGGAGTAATATTGTTATTACTCGACATTCCAGGTTTTTGCATTTAAGCCCAATGCGAGGCTGCAGGTGGGTTAAAGACTGCCGGCCACTATGGCTCAGACGCTGACCAAGTAGCCGCCCAATGTGGGTCAGACGCTACCTGGGTTTAGAGTAGTGTGCAGCTGGTACCTGCTGCCAGGCTGGTTCCACTGCCGGCCACTATGGCGCAGACGCAGATCGCGCAGCCGCCCAGTATGAGCAGACGCTGCGTGGATTCAGTCGTTGTGTGTGGTGATCGCTTCCACCAGATCGGAACGACACGCGGCCTCCCTCGCTGGTCGAATATTTCCCTCCGACTACGTAATGTTGGGGGTTATACCGCCCCGCCTCGGTCGCCAGAGCCCCTTTTTGGGTGCCGGGTGTTTTATTTTTTTTATTATTTACAACTAAAAAATAATAACATACAATAACATAAAGGATGGATGCTATATCTTTATCTCTCTTGCGGACGAAACCATGGCCCTCACTGTGCGGTACGGCCGCAAAGCATTGCTTCGCACAATGGCAGGCCGCTTAGTCCATCCGCTCGTTTCTGTCCCTCTCCAGACGCCTAAGTGTCCTCAACACCTTCGCCGCGAATTCCGCCGTCGCTTCCCACGTCCTTGGGCTCTCCAGCATCAGCGGCACCAGCGTGCCCACGCAGATCTCCGCTCCTGATATCGCCTCCAGCTCTGCCCTTTCTTCGGCGACCCGGCGGCACTCGAAGACGACGTGGCGCGCATCTTCTTGAATGCCGGATCCGCACTCCGGACAGCCATCCTCGTTCTCGTGGCCGAACCTCTTGAGATAGCCACGGAAGCAGCCGTGACCGCTCAGCAGCTGGGTCAGGTAGAAATCCACCTGCCCGTGCGTCCTCTCCATCCAGACCTCAATATTGGGGATCAGGCTGTGGGTCCATCTCCCTTTGGACGAGGCATCCCATCTGGTTTGCCAGCTCCTGTAGCTCGTTCGTCTAGCCGCCATTTTTGCCTCGGACTTCGCGGCGCGATCAAGTCCAAGGTGCCCGCGGAGCGCGTTGCGCAGCTCGACCTTCTCGCGGACCAACTCCCTCAGAGGGACCAAGCCCGCTATCACTAGCGCGGCGTCGTCCGAGACCGTCCTGAATGCGCTTGCCACTCGGACAGCGCATAGTCTGTATGCAGACTCCGCACCACGCATGTAGGATTTGGTCTCAGCGGCTGCAGCCCACACCGGTGCCGCGTACAGCATCTGGGAGGTTGCGACGCTAGTCAGCAGCTTCCTGATGGTCTGCTTAGGTCCTCTGGTGTTGAGGAGTATCCGCGAGAGGCTTCCTGCCGTCTTGCTGGCCTTCTTCTGGGCGTACTCCAAGTGCTCCTTGAACGATAGCCGGGTGTCGATCAGAACACCGAGGTATTTTATTGCCCTCTGCGATCTGATCACGGCTCCGCCAACTAGGATCTCGGCCGTTTCCACGGTCTTCCGACTCGATATAAGGACTGCCTCCGTCTTTTGTGCCGCTAGCTCCAGGCCCGCTCTCGCGAGCCACGATTCGATCGATGTGATCGCATCGTTCGCCAGTGCTTCTGCTGCGGTGCGCTGCTTAGCGACTACGACCACCGCCACGTCGTCAGCGAACCCCACAACGGTCGTGCCACTGGGCATTGGGAGCCGCAGGACGCCGTCGTACATGGTATTCCAGAGCAGGGTTCCCAGCACGGAGCCCTGAGGGACTCCGGCGGAGACTTCGTATGCTCTGGAGCCCAAGTCCGTTGCCACAGTGAGCACTCTCTCACTGAAATAGCTCCTTGCTATCCTCATGAGGTACCCTGGAATATTCAGGGCGGCGAGGGACTCCAGCGTTCGGTTCCAGCTTGCGGTGTTGAAGGCGTTTCGTATGTCTAGCGTTACCACTAGACAATAACATTTGGAGCCGCCTTTCCACCTCTTACCGGAGATGGCCGATTTGGCTATTCCCGTCACCGTCTCAATGGCGTCCAGCGTTGACCTCCCTTTCCTGAACCCAAACTGGTTTGGGGAGAGACCTCCGGCCTCCTCGATGGCCGCAGTCAATCTGACGGATATGATCCGCTCGAAGACCTTACCAGTGGTGTCGATGAGGCAAATGGGCCTATAGGAGGATGGCTACCCCGGGGGCTTGCCCGGCTTGGCGAGTAGCAGCAGCTTCTGCCTCTTCCATCTTTCTGGGAAGGTCCCCTCCTCCAGGCACTTGGAGTACAGGGTTGCGAACTCCCTCGGGTGTAAGGCGATGGACAGCTTCAATGCCCTGTTGGGCACAGCGTCCGGCCCCGGCGCCTTCCTTGGGGGCACGCTCTTACCCATCCGGATCACCTCCTCTTCCGACACTTCGCAGGCATCGTTGGGGTGGTGCTCTGCACTGGGCTCGACAGTCACGGGAGATCCTGTCGGGAAAAGCGCTCGCACTATGCCTTCTAGGGCTACGGGGTCCGATGGAGCAGAGCTGCCGGCTCTCAGCCCTTTGACCACCATCCTGTACGCTCCGCCCCAGGGGTCGTCCTCCGCCTCGTCGCAGAGTTGCAGGAAACGGTTCCTCTTGGCGTCCCTTATGGCCGTCTTGAGGGCCTTTCTCGCGGTCCTGTAGACCTCGCTACGCTCAGCGACTCGTGAGGTTCCGCGTGCACGAGTCAGCTGCCTACGGGCTCGAAGGCAGGTGGCCCTGAGATCGGCGATCGCGTCGCTCCACCAGAACACTGGTCTGTGGTTTCCTCGAAACGAGCCTCTCTGGCGCATACTCTGGTCGCAGGCGTGCTCCAGGGTTGCTGCGATGCGGTTCGCAATTTCGTTGGCTCCACCCGTCATTTCGGCCGCCATGCCGTCCAGCGCGTTTGTGAACGCCTGCGTGCACAGCGTGTCTGGCCGGTAGGCTTTGCTGGGCCGCGGTGCTGCACGGGTATCTTCCGCGGGACCTCCCACTGAGCATATGATAGCCTCATGGTCGCTCCCGGTGTATGCGTCGCAAATTCCCCATCTAGCGGTTTGGGAAATTGCTCCGCTCACATACGTAAGGTCGATGATGGAGGCTGCTCCTGCTCTGACTAACGTATGCCGCTCACCGTCGTTAAGGAGGACGACGTCTGTCGATGCAAACGCCTCGAGCACCGCGCGTCCTCTGGCGTTGGTCGAGACGGATCCCCATTCCTGGGCCCAGGCGTTGAAGTCTCCTCCGACTATAACTTTGTGCCTCCCACGAAGGTCAGAGCTTAGGTCATCCAGGATCCTACTGAACACCTCTAGTGGGAGACTAGGCGCCAAGTAGCAGCTATAGACGCAGTAGCCGCCAACTTCCGCCCGCACGAATCCGTCCGCAGCCAGGATATTGGACATCCGTAGTCGCCTGCCTCCGCAGAGCCAAAGAGCCGCCTTGCCAGAGCGGTCCTTGGCCCACTCTCCTCCCACGCTCACCCTGTATGGCTCGCTGAGTATGGCCACATCCGCCGCTACCTCGCGCACTGTCTGCGTAAGCAGGTCCTGCGCCGCTCTGCAGTGATTCAGGTTGAGCTGAATCAACTGCATACGGTCCTTGAAGTGTCTGTACCGCCTTTTCAGGCCTGGCGGCTTTTGCTGCCGGGTCGAACGTCGGCCTCTCCGGAGCTCGCTGGAAGGATCACTGGCTCCTTTTTGCAGGCAGCGGCCTTGTGGCCTGCTTCGCCGCACTTGATGCAGTAGCCGCTCTTGTCCACCGGGCTCTTGCACCTGATGGCGATGTGCCCAAGTTCCAAGCATCTGATGCAGCGAGGAGGGCCTTCGCGCTCCCGCACTCTGCACCTGGTCCAACCTATGCGGACCTCGCCGCGCCGTCTGACTTCCTTTGCCATCGAGCAAAGCAGGCTGAAGACCGCCGTTTTAGATTCCCCGTACCCGGGGCGGAGGCTTCGTATCCTCACTGCTCTGTCGCTTAGCTGGTACTGCTCAGCGAGGGCGGTACGAATCTCCCTCTCCGTCGTGATCGCGACGAGGTTACGTATCACGAAGACGCAGACCTTCGACTCCTCCGTCAGGGCTCGCACTTCCGCGGCGTCGCCCAGGACCTTGGAGATGCTGTCCCTCATGGACTCAGCGCTCTCTGTGCTCCCTCTGGCTACTTCGAGGAGAAGATTTCCCCTAGCTGTCCGGCGCACCTTGGTGACAGCCCCTCCGAGATCTGTCAGCTGTCTGTCCTCCCTTCTCGTGACCAGGGCCAGGATCTCGCTGTAACTCTTCCCTGGAGGGGTGCCGGGTGTGCGTGTGTGAGTGTGTGTGCTTAGTTTTAGTCTTAATTTTAGGTATAATATGTACATAAGTAGTTCTAAGCTTAAATTGTAGGGTATTATTTAAATAATTATATTTATAGGGTTGTGGCGACCAGTCGTGTCGTCACAAATGCTAGGAAAATAACAGTTTTTTGGCGATCGCTCGAATCTGTCAACAGTTATTTGCGAGCTATGAGTAAAACTATTGGAACACTGTAATCTCTAACTTTGTAATATGTATCGATAGTTTAGGCTCATTTCACATAAAAAAATTAATAAATAAATTAAACTAACTATATCTAAATCAGCTTCATTTTTTTTTCTTTGAGATCTTCTTTCTCTTTTTTTTTCTTCTCTAGTTCTTTTTTTTTCACTTTTCCTTCCCTTTTCTTTCCACTCAGAATTTTTATGTGGCACTGGCAGGTTATGTTATATTTTTTTCCAGCGAAATTTTTCTTTTTTTTTTGGGTCGGGATTTTCCCAGTTAAGAGCTCGAGTTTTTTTTCTCACATCACTTGGCAAATAAATTTGGCCGGTTTTTCCCTGTGCACAGCAAAAAAAAAGGAACTTTCGTCTCTGCTTGACGATTTGGAGTAACTCCGCCGAATTAAGGCGCTCCGGCGAGCGCTTCCGCGATGACTGGCCTGAGCGTTTTATTGGCCCTCCTTCCGTGGCCACAGCGCTCGCAATTGAGCGCTTTTTTTAAACCACTCCGGAGCGCTATTTTCTCCCTTTCTTTCCCGGTGGCTGATCTTGGCGCTGGCTTCTGCGCTGATGGGGATTTCCCTTGCCGAAATACTCGCTTTCTGCTGCCGCAACCTGTATAATAAATTGGGCAGGCCCCTGTCAGATAAACCTATTTATTTCTCCTTTTTTTTTCGCCAACTTACCTCGCTCTATTTAGCGGAAAGGCTGGTATAGCTGGTACTCAAGTGTTTCTCCCTTAGGGTCTGTCCGCTGGTTGGCACTTCTCGACCGCTTGAAGGATGGATTGGGAAAGATCGAACCGACGCCAAATTTCTGGCGGCTATCCCCTTCCCGAGTCCAAAAGGAGAGATGTGCCCCAGAGCAAGTTGACATTTTACTCTGTTGCTCTCCCTTCCTGATCTACCTTTCCTCCTTCTTACGTCGCTCACCCACCCCTAGGTGGCGCTAAAAACCAACTCTCATGCTACAAGCGCTAAAAAAGCCCCCTCTGAAGAGCAGACTTGGGGTTAGACACCCGAAGGCTGATCCAAAGCTTGTAGCCTATCCGGTCTACTGCTTCATGTCCTTCGCATGGAACCGCCCTACAGCTCGACCATTCAAATCCTCCAGCTCATAGCAGGAATTTCCAAGCTTCTTCCGAACTCTCGCTTTTATATAAGCGGTTCCCAGTTTGGAACTATATCCGGCCGGAAAACTGCTTTGCTTGAAGTTCTTCCTATAAACTTCCTGTCCTTCAGCGTAAACCACGTCCCTAGCTCGCAAATTGTATTGACGCTCGTTCTTCGCATTCTGTTTGCCCATCACCTCTATTGCCTTTAGCCTCACCAATTCCAAAGAATCCCCTCGAGAATAAACTGCCGACCTGTCCTCCAACAGGCCCAATAACCTCAACAGTTTATATGACGACCCGGACGACATGAAATGCTGCCCGAACGCCATGTAATATGGGGTTGTGCCAATTGCCGAATGCACTGATGAGCGAAGGGCGCAACAAATGCTACTTAGCTGCTCATCCCAATCTTTCTGGTCTGCTCTCACATAGGACCGAATCGCGGCGATCACCGAACGATTCACCCTTTCAGATGCGTTCGCCTGTGGGCTATATGCGGCTGTTAGAGTGTGCGAGATCTCATGCTCCCTCAAGAACTTTTGAAATGCCTCAGCCCTAAATTGAGAACCATTATCGGACACTAACGTCTCCGGCACTCCAAAAGTGTGGAACAATTCCTGCTGCAGATACTTGAGGACAACATCCGCCGTGAGTTTCTTTACGGCTTTCAGGAACACAAACTTGGAATAGTGATCCAGCACAATAAATATTCCAACATTGCCACTACGAGAGCGGGGATATGGCCCAAGGAAATCAACGTACAAACGCTGGAAAAATCTTTGCGATTCAGGCGTAACGCCTATTGGCGGTCGCTGAGTCCTGTTCGGCGCTTTGGTGGTCTTACAGACTTCTCAGGATTAGATATACGATTTTACATCGTTTAATGGATACCCCCATGCGAAGCAAGAGGATCATCATGATTCTTCTTTAATACCTCAGGCACTAAACCTGCTGGTATCCACAGCTTCCAAACGAAGGTATCATGTAAAGGATCCCCTGTTGCGTGCTCTTCGGTAAAATAGTCCATCCCTTACCTTTAGGTCAGGCAACTTCTCTTCATTAGCCTTAACTCGGTCTAACAATTCGACATATTTCCCGGACTTAAACTCCATTAACTCCATCAACCATTAAACCCTGGCTCGCTACAATGCTGGCCATTTCTGCTTCATTTACTCTGGATAAAGCATCTGGCACCACATCTGGTCTTCCACTGCGATGCTCTATTTTAAAATTAAAGCCTTGCAGCTTTAATGCCCAACGGGCTAAGCGCGAGTGTAGATCAGTTTGGGACATTAGCCATTTAAGAGAGGCGTGGTCCGTGATAACTGTAAATTCGTGACCATCAATATACGGCCAGACACTCCTGCTCAGTGACAGAATAATTTCTCTGTGCCTTATTGAGCTTCTTGGATACGAACGCAATTGGATACTCATTCCCTTGTTCAGTCTTCTGCACTAAAACTCCACCTACTCCTGTCTTAGATGCATCGCATTGCACGAAGAATGGCTTGCTGAAATCTGCGCTGCGAAGCACAGGAGCCGAACACAACATATTTTTCAGCTCTTGAAATGCCTTCTCACCTTCTGGCGTCATATGGAATTTCTTCCTAGGCTTGCGCAAATCTGTCAAAGGAGCAGCCACAGTGGCAAAATTGCTAATAAATTTGCGATACCACCCAACCATCCCTAAGAAGCTGCGAAGGGATTTCAAACTTTTCGGGAGTAGGAATTCGGACATCGCAGATATTTTTTCGGGATCAGTACGTATGACTCCATTACCAACAATATGCCCTAAATACTTCACAGACTTCATGCAAAAGTGGCTCTTTTCTACGTTCAGAGTTAAACCAGCTGTTCGGACTCTATCAGCTACCAATCCCAACACTCGCACATGCGTCTCAAAGGTGTCAGAGGTGTAGTCTAAATAAACAAACACCTCATTCCTCAAATCTGCGGGTATGACTCGATCCATCAGCCGCGTCATTGTCTGAGAAGCGTTAGTTAGACCAAATGGCATCACTTTATATTGATAGAGCGGCTTTCCTGGGACGGTAAAAGACGTCTTATCGATAGACTTGGGATCAAGAGGGATCTGCCAATACGCATCTTTCAGATCTAGGCTAGATATATACATCGCTTTGGCAACCTCGACAATATGCCATCGATCTGCGGCAGGGGATACGCATCTTTTGTCGTCACCGCATTCACTTTACGACAATCCAAGCACAGTCGAACCTTTCCTGGCTTTTGGACGAGGACAACTGGCGACGACCAAGCGCTCTGGGATTCCTCTATCACTCCCATCGCCAACATCCTATCGATTTCCGCATATAGCAGCTTCTCGACAGCGGGAGACACAGGGAAGTGACGCTGCTTTATGGGTTAGGCTTCCCCCACATCGATTTCGTGCGAGAGTAAATTTGTCTTCCCCAAGCCTGAGATACCGATCGAAGGAAATTTGGCCACAACTGCACTAAGGCTGCCTTGTTGGCTTTCAGAGAGACTATGGGAATCCGATGTAATCTGCATGTTTTCCGGGAGCAACTGAAAGTCGGACCAAAATTTGATTCCCAAATACAGATCTTGATTCAGGGAAGGGACTATGTGGAACTCTACTTCCTAAGTTATATCCTTGAAAGTGACCTTAGTCTTAAATCTTCCCACAATGTCCTGCGTTTTCCCATCTGCCGTGTGTGCTACCGTGGCCGCTCTCTTGAATTTTACTCCACTGCATATGACCTGTTTTGCTAAGTGGCCACCAATAACATTGATCGCCGCCCCGGTGTCCAACAATCCGACCGTTACTCTATCCAGTAACCTGACTTCGGCATAGGGACGCTGATCATTAGCTTTGAATCGAATGGCGTTTACTGCTCGAACTGCCTTCCAAAACTCCTTTATCCTTTTAGCATTCCGTGAACTAACTGGGTTTTCACTAAGTAACTATTTATATATATATCCTTACTAACTATTTTTGGCCAAAACTCCATGGGGCCTTCTAAATTTTGCATCCTATTATCTCCTACTGGCTCAGACTGATCAGATCCTACTGCTGACTCGTCTCCATGTGTGTCGCCTTGTTTCTGAGAACACAGGACTGCAAGCGGCTTCTGCAGGTGTTCGAAATCCCATTTTTTTGACAGCGCACACACGTCGTTTTATACGAGTTTTTAGCCCCGCAGTCATAGCAGAAAATTTTTCTTTTCGATCCGCAGTCTTGGTACCGGTGGCCCTCTTTGTGGCAATTCCAACAAATGAGTGCTACCGCCCCAACTTCCTGACAAACTTCCTCTTCCGAAATCTCCTCTGCGTCTTCCCACGGTGCCCCCTCGACTAGCTCTGCGACTGGCCTACGGACTGAAACCGGCCTTTGGTATCCTCGCGTCTTTCGCAAATCCTCAAGAAAGTTTTCCCTGCGACGACAAACTTCTCTTAAATTTTCCACAGTTTTGATTTGCAGGTTCAGGATCTCATGCCTAATGTCTGGCCTCAAAGTTCGCCT